TTGTCGACTGTTCGGATGTAGAGGCCCTAGCGGCTTTAAAACATAACATCCACGACGAATGGCTAGCCTGGCACCTTGGTCAGGAAAAGCCGAAATCTATGGCAGCCCTCACGACACTCATGACCCACTTTTGCGCGGGAGAAGACAGCTGGCTGGCTTGTAGTAATAACATATCAAAGAACAATGGTACTTCGGATACCAAGGACGGCAATAGCAGGTCACGTCGCAACAAACATAAGCGCCGCATTAACAGCAATAATAACGAGGATACGGCAGTCAATGCCGGATTCAAAGGCTCTAAACCTGGTCAGCGGAAAAAGCCATTCAAACAAAGTATGTTGGGACCGTCCAGCTTGGACCATATACTCGATCGCTCATGTCAAATACACGGCACCCCAGAAAAGCCGGCCAATCACACCAACAGGGATTGTTGGGTGTTCAAGCAGGCCGGCAAGTTAATTGCCGAAAACAAGGACAAGGGGCCGCATAGCGATGACGAGGAGGAGCCCCGACAGCCGCACACTAGTGGACAGAAGAGGTTTCCCCCGCAAGTGCGGACGGTGAACATGATATATGCAACCCACATCCCCAAGAGGGAGCGGAAGCGTGCGCTCAGGGACGTATATGCGTTGGAGCCAGTCGCCCCAAAGTTCAACCCTTGGTCCTCCTGTCCGATCACCTTCGATCGTAGGGACCACCCCACTAGTATCCGTCATGGCGGATTCACCGCACTGGTCCTAGACCCAATCATTGACGGATTTCACCTCACTCGAGTCCTAATGGATGGATGCAGCAGCCTGAACCTGCTTTATCAGGACACAGTGCGCAAAATGGGTATAGACCCCTCAAGGATCGAACCCACAAAAACGACATGTAAAGGCGTCATTCCAGGTGTAGAGGCCCATTGCACAGGCTCAATTACACTGGAAGTGGTCTTCGAATCCCAGATAACTTCCGAAGCGAAGAGTTAATCTTCGATATAGTCCCGTTCCGCAGTGGTTATCATGCGATGGTCGGGCGAACCGCATTTGCTAGATTCAATGCGGTACCGCATTATGCATACCTCAAGCTCAAGATGCCAGGACTTCGCGGGGTTATTATAGTCAATGGAAACATAGAGCACTCTCTCCGAATAGAGGAGCACACTGCAGCCCTCGCAAAATAAGCGCAAAACAGCCTCCGAAGGCAATCCACCAGTTCGGCGTTTCAAAACCCGGACACCTTCAAGCGCGTTCGGAGCAATCGGCAAATAGACCGCCTGGCGCGATCTGAGCTCGCGTAGCAATGCGGCCCCCACCCCAGTCCCGGCAGAACGGCGAAGCCCGTGCCACGCGTACATAATTACGCATTAAAAATACCATGGGCACAGGTGGGGAGGGGGGGCACACTGCGGCACGCCCCAAGACGCGGCTTAAACCACACTAGGGGCTTCCCGTTTGGTTATTTTTCTCTTTTTTTAGGACCTTAATCTCTGGAAACCCTGTCCGGCAGCAGTATTGCCGAACACATGATGCAGCAACCAAGGAGGCAGAAGCTACGTCACACCACGGAATTCCCAGGTGGATTACAATAACGAGCGAAATATTTGATTTAATACTATTCCTCATCTTGCCCTTGGAAGGGACATAGTCCCACTCTTTGCTTATCGCACTATCTGTATCATTCTGCTTTAACGCACCTTTTTGAATAAACAATGCTTAGCTTCAGCTTATTATTGCATTCTCTATTCATTTATTTTTCAATACATATGGTCAGTTATGACATTTAGCACCCGTACACTTTGGTATGGTCCATACGCCAGGGGCTCAAGCACCCCACAATATGGTGTGAAAAGTCCAAACACTTTCACAAGTGCGGCACCCCGAACTTATAGCATTATATGCATCAGCTCCGAATCATGTCTTTGGTCAAATGTTGGGTTTGCCCGGCTCCTATGTTTTGGTACCTTACGTTCCGCTCTATTGGATAAGGTAGCGCTAGGAGAACTACTGAGATTGTGCCCCGGTTCTGCCGGGCTTAGCAGCTCAGTAGAGAAAGCTAAAACTAACTGTCATGATAAGGCGAGAGACTAGTCGCTGTTCGGCGAGGTTTTTCAAGTTCCTAAAGACTTATGCCGCTTAGGGCGAGGGGCCGGCCCTGTCCGGCTTAAAGGCGTGTATCGCGCCCCGAATTCGGCCTTCCGAATACCAGGGGCTTCGCCGAAATTTAAAATTATAGAATTCTATGGCTAAGTGAGAGTGATAAAGCATTATTAGTCCGGTTGCCTTGTTCGTTGTGCTGAGCACCTCCCTCGAAGGACCCAAACATGGGAACAAGAGTGCTCAGGTTTATCCCGAACACCCCAACACTCATGGCATGGGGGCAGAAGCCGAGGACTAGCCATCTCTTAGATTGGATAAACGGCCAAACAAAAGGTAATATTTTAAATTCACACAAGCATTGCATAGCGCATATGAAACAAGTTTCATCATACAGGATCACACGAGCAAGTTTACTCAAATATTACATCCTTTGAACATTCGTCCGCCACAAGACGGGCTCCCTTCAGGACACCCTCATAATAAATTTCGGGGGTGCGATGCTCCTTGCCCTACGGCGGCCCTTCCTTGATCAGCTTCACGGCGTCTAGCTTGGCCCACTGCACCTTCACACGTGCGAAAGCCCGGCGTGCACCTTCGATGAAGACGGACCACTTGACAACCTCCAGCCGTGGGCAGGCATCTACAAGCCGCCTCACCAGGCCGAAGTAGCTGTTCAGAAGGGCGTCGCCAGACCATAGCCGGACTATAAGGCCCTTCATGGCCTGTTCGGCCACCTTGTGCAGCTCAACTAGCTGCTTTAGCTGGTCGCTCAAAGGCATCGGGTGTTCAGTCCCAGTATACTGAGACCAGAACAGCTTCTCCGTTGAGCTTCCCTCCTCGGCCTGGTAAAATTGTGCGGCATCCGACACACTGCGGGGCAAATCTGCGAATGCTCCTGGAGAGCTCCGAATCCGGGTAAGTAGTCGGTAATTTACTCTTACATGCTTGCTCTGCATATAGAATGCCTTACCCGCCGTTATCTTCTTCATTGCGTCAGTCTCCTGGAGGGCTTTTTGGGCTTCGGCGTTGGCACGTTTTGCGCCCTCGAGGGCCGCGGCAAGCTCAGACTCTCGCGTCTTCGAGTCAAGCTCCAATGCCTCGTGCTTCGTCACGAGAGCCTGGAGCTCTTGCTGCACCTCGCCCACCCAAGCATCTTGTTTTTCCCGTGGTGCGCTCCTTGGCCGCTTTATCTTCGGCCTTGGTTAGTGCTTGCTTCAGGGTCGCCACCTCGGTCGTGGCCCCTGGCAAATATACGATGATCCTGTCATTTTGCAACCGCGTCTTCTTTTATATATACATATCTATAGACATGGTATTACTTACCCTTGTTCTCCTCGAGCTGCCTCTTGGCAAGGCCGAGCTCTTTCTTGGACCCTCGAGGTCCTGCTTCAGTACGGCGACCTCCACAGTCAGTGCGGCGGACGCCAGCAGGGAGGCATGCATACACATATTGACATACTTATATTAGACTCCTGCGATATTATTTGATCCTCTGTTCGGCTTTTCTTCGTGAACACCAAACAAAGCATCAGGGGCTACTGTCTATGTGGTAATATTTTTCCTATATTTTAAAACACTAACCTCAAAGCCTATTAGAAGGCTGGCACAAGCTTCAGTCAATCCGCCCTTGGCGGACTGAACCTTCTGGACCACCGCACTCATAATAGTACGGTGCTCCTCATCGATGGAAGCACTGCGAAGCACTTCTAGCTGATTTTCCGGCGCCTCTGGATGGACAGAGGTCACCAGCACAGGCGTCTTGCCCCTCTTAGAATGAGGTCGCCTGCCCGAGCCCGGAACCACTGGAGGTTCCGGCACGGTGTCCGGCTGAGGGCCGAACTCGGAGCTCTCAGGGGCCCCGTCCCCTCGCCTCCCGGAGTCCGGACGGTCTCCTTGAGGCGCCTCCGTGACTGTCTCCCCTCGACCCCGTGCCTCTTGAGACAGCACCTCCGCGTCGTCAGCAGGATGAGGGGAGGTGGCGGTCGGAACTGGATCCACTACAAGAAAGTCGTTAATCTGTGACGGTAATTGTCCGTCACAAACATGCAAAATACTGTCAAGGATGGCCGGGCGTGACGGTCCTGAAATCCATCATGTATATCGCGTCATAATTTTCCCACCCGCCCATGCTTGACGGATTTTCATTTCCGTCATGAATTATGACGGTCTGTTGCCGTCACCGATCTGACCCCCGACCCGCCCAAGGCCCGGTCCGCTGTGACGGACTATTCCGTCATGGATTTACATGACGTGTAGAAAGATGAGTCCCATGTGGCATCTCCCGCAATCTAACATGGCGCCAGCGTGGAGCTGATGTGGCGCCAGCATGGAGCTGATGTGGTGCCAGCATGGAGCTGACGTGGCGCCATGTCAGCCGATGGCATTCGGCCCAGTGTGGTCTGGCCCATTTATTTTTGTACATCCAAGCCTATCGGCCCATTTTACTGCAGCTGGTTGGCCTGTTTGTTTTGGGTTGGTCCATAATCATTCACACTCTCTTGGCCCATTTGCACGTGTTCAATATGCACATCAGCCCATTAAAATTATGCGGCACATGTGTTTTTTTAGCCAGAAAGTGTGTTTCGAGGCCACTTTATTCGGCCCATTAGTGTTTACTCTACCCAACCCAACCCTTCTTTGTCTCTACACAGAATCGGTTTCCAAGCCTAAGAGCTTACATCTCCAGATCCATCACAAATACAGAAAAGAGGAACAACATCCCAAATCACAGTAACATTGACCTTGCATCTCCAAATCCATGAACAATGGAGCAGCAAAATGCAACCAGTTTGCATCCAATAGTGTGCAGTTTGCACAGCAAAATCATTACAAAATAAGAAGGTAGGTTCTAGCAGTATATCACATTCACACAGCTTCCATGTATCAAGTAGAGACGACGGCTGATCTTGGACAAACAACTTACCCTTGAGTTGATCTTGCTTGCAACTGACTTAACAAAAAGTCTAGTTTTGCATCCATCTCAGCTTGCTTCTTCCTGTTCTCCTCATCTCTCTTCCTGTGCTCCTCGTCTTGCCTGATCCTTGCTTCTTCGGACTCCTTCAACTGCTTGGTCAAGGTGTCAACAAGAGCTCGAAGCTCAACATTGCCCCTCTTTGCCAATTCTGCTTGACAGTTGCTATCGCTAGATCTCGCATGGACATGTTGGATCCCCACATGCTGAAGAAACCTTAGCTTCTTAGTGTGGTTAGCAAGCACTTCAGCTACAGCCTTGGTCGTAGAGTTTGATTCTTGTCCATCTTCTGTAGGCTGAGAGGCCTTGTTTTCCATCTCGGTCTAGCAATGCAAGCAACAAACATGGTTATAAGACGGCTTAAGCACAAGTAGAGAAGACAACATCAGCAAGCTTACATGCAACGTCTTTGTAAGGAAAGCTATCATGCATCCTTTACAACTAGACACTTGTGATAACAGTCAGATTAATCTTTTTTCTGTGCGGAGGTGATTCAAATTATTCATATATACTATCATCTACAACAAAGTGGACTATTTCCTGAATTAACTAGAAGTGAGTAATATTCAAATCAAATTATTTCTGGAAGTCAATCAATAAAATATATATATACACACTAAAAATATAACACACCGGGGATGGCCAAAACTACAATATATAAAGCCAAATAATAGATTAATAAAAAAATTCTGTAATTTTATGTGGCTGATAGGTCACATGTCAAAGTGATTATGCGCTTTTATTAAAGTCATTTCATCTAGCCATATACTAAATCAAAACTGATGTTTTTCAGTCGCATCAAAACTTATCAGTTGTATGAAAATAAAAAGGGTACAATCATATAGGACAGGCTATTACAAGATAGTTAAGTGAACATGTTAACATTTTCAATTAAGATACACTGACATTTGATTATCAATTTTCAATCTGGTGGAGTAACTCAAACAATATTAGTTCTAGTACGCAAAAAGGTAAAAGTTGATGGTTGGTAGTCTTTTGAAGCTGTCTTACAATTGCAGCTTGGACAACATCGGTGTAGCTTTTCTTTTTCTTGCTGTAATGGCACTCCTTGAACAAATCCAATGCAGTGGGTTCTTTATCTTTGTATTTGTCTCCCTGGAAACAACAAATATGAAGGCAAGGGAGCATCATACACAGTTACTACATGGATGCAAGAGTTTACATTAACCTATGGTCAAGAATATTTCTCATGACAATGCACATCGAGAGCCACATGTTTGACTTACCAGATTATCACAGTGCACAGGGTAGCTGCGCGAGCTAGTGGTTTGGTGAAACTTAACTTGAGCTCGATTATTTTTGTTAGTTTCACATATCCCCTACATCAAGAGACCAAATACATGTAAGGCACAATTTCTTGATTAGCATGTAGAAGGCGAGAGATTAGTCTCGAGGAAGAAACATACCATCTTTTTGGGATCCTTCCAGCTTTCCACTAGCTCATTCCACTGCTCATCGGTCATCAAGGGGACAGGAGACGTTCTTGTCACCAAATGGAGTGGGTGAGGGTCAAAATACTCTTTCTTGAGCCTGTATCGTTGTTGGCGAGTCGCACGTTTCAGCATTTCAGTACAAGCCTTCCTAACTGGCACAACATCAACGTCCATCTGAAACTTGTTCTAGTCCGATGAAAAAACATGTGTAAGTATCATGATTGCACAAAATTGACAAAATAGCAAAAATTGACAGTTTGATAGCCATTTGAGGGAGGAAGGCCTGGACTTTGTACTTACACCAACTTTTCCTACAAAGTTCCTGAAGATCCCATCTCGGACATGTCCATCTGGGTCCTTGTAATCCTTCCAGCGCTTAAACACGGGCATATGGTGTCGAACTGTGACATTGCATTCAGTTGCGAACTTTGCAGCAAGAAGAGGTGCCTCCGGCCTTAACTTCCCTTCTGGAATGACAAGCGGCAGTTTGCCCTGCCGGCGTCGAGTGATCCTTTCCAGACCTTTTCCCAAATTGGGGCCCTTTCCCTTGGCTCCTCATAGGATTGTGGACCTGAAAAGAAGGTAAAATCAAGAATGGATACAATTAAACCGCAATTACACGTATAGAAGTGTACTAATAAATGGAGGACATCGTTTCAAAATGTGTAACTATAACAACAGGAAGTAAGCTCACAAAAAAAGTCAAGACAATATACTAGTAACCATATGGCAACAACAACTAAATGGAATATTGCATTATCTATCATGTTGGTGTGTTTCTGACTGTTATAAATGCACAGGTTAACTGGAACGGAAGACAATGTTCGAGCAGATTTCAAGAAGGCACAGGTTAACTAAATTGTCCTTATTTAAATACTGTGATATTAAGAAATGAGCAATGGAGTTGCCCTTGAGAATATCATCATCCCGCAACACTGGAATGACTCATAAAAAATCATGCACACATATGGTATAAATTAAGACAGGAAGATGCATAGAACAATAGATTGAACAAGAAGTTTAACTCTAATAGATGCTAGAAAGATTCAGGTTATAACATGCCTTCAGAGTTATTGTTAGGTGGGGTTTGCTGATTTGGCTGGGCACTACCACCAGTTTCGTTGGCCATCTCATTTTCGTCATCACGATGGGCAATGAGATCAGCTCCATTGGCAATCCAGTTGTCATCATCACAATGTCCAGGATCATCACCTTTTTTGAAAAAAGCATCTAGTGGGAGTATGTTCATCATGGAGCTAATAGCCTAGGCTAGTAATTCAAAAGAAAAAATCATGAACATGATATGATAATAATAGTAAGGAACTTGCCTTCAACACCATGGTCATCAAAGTTGGGAACAGTTTCTTCAGCTTGGCGGACACAAGCCATGGAAGCAGTTGGCTTATGGATGACACTTGGTGTCTGCTGTTTAGGATCAGACATTTCCTCACTTTGAATACCTCCATCAGCATCTTGTGATAGAGCTTTCTTCGACCTTGTGACTCGTGGATTAGTTGGGAGGTCCGCATGAACCCTCTTAGGAGGTCGAGGCTTGACTCCACCAGGGGGCATGGCAGCAGATCTTTTCTTACTAGTTTTCTAACTAGTCTTCTTACAGTCTTGACAGATATGAAAACATGGTTTAATCAACAAACAGTAACAAAATTATGCTACAACGGCAAACAAGCAACATATCTAAGCAATGAATGACTAGATTGAGGAAATTAGCACCTTAGAGTTTGAGCTAGCAGCAGGTGTGGACTGCAGTGCTTCTGTTTCATCTACTAAACTATCATCGTATGACTCTCCTTCACTGTATTGTCCTCGTTAGGATGGTACTCAGCTTTAGAATCATCACTACTATGCTTGGGTTTATTTTTTCAGGTGAAATGACAGTTTTGGCTGCAAACAATGTCGATAGTGCAGGAATTCCGAGTGCTTGCAGCCTCGAATTGTTCCTTATGCATGTTCTGATGCGCGACTCCTCCAAAGGATGCAGCGGTGGTTCTAAGATGAGTGAACACATGAGCACGAATTACTATGTGTATAATCTGTAGTTAATAACAAAATACTATTTTGTGATCAAGTTTGTAACAATATGTGATCCAAATGTACACTTGACAGCACAAGACCCTTTTTTCATAGGTATGGCAAGAACTCTAATGGACCAGAAACACTAGCAACTTAAATCAAACACAAGAAAACAGCTTTTACCACACACCCATTAGACATACATATGCATGAATAGCAAATAGGCAGGCGTGGGGTGGGTTAAGAAGATTATACCTGTTGTCTTGGGTCCTCGGTGTTTCTTCGCTGTAGTCTTCTTCCCCATCAATGTGGTGCAGAGGTCCTTGAAGCGGCGCAGTATGGTTGCAGCGACGGCTTGTTCTAGGGTTTGGTGGAGCGGAGAGGAGGGGGAGGGGGTTCTGGACCTGTAGTTGAGGTGGGGTAGCGACCGGCGGTGGAGGCAAAAGAGCAAGGGGAGTCGTGCTCGGGAGTGGCGCGGTGTGGTGGCGGTGGCGGCGGCTGCTTACTCTAGGGTTTGGTGGAGGCGGATGGTGGGGGAGAGGGGGTCTTGACAGGCAGTGGAAGAGCAAGGGGAGGGAGGGGATCCGTGCTCTGCGGTGGAGGTGGACGAGGAACGGAAGATGGGCTCGGCGGTGGAGGAAGTGAAGCTGTGGCCGGCGGCGGAAGAGGAAGGGGAATAGGATGGAGGGGATTTGGCGATACGGGGGAGGGAGGGGATTTGGCTGGTCGTGCGGTGGGGGTTAGGCATTTGTGTGTGTCAAATTACTAATAGGCCCTTCATCTGGTACTGGTGGATGAATGCATATGTGTAATTTTGGGGAACATTGCTAGGCAATAGCGTCAATTCGCGTTGCGTTATTTTTTTCTTGGCACGGTCGCGCGGCTGGAGCGAAAACTGTAACGTGCGTGCGCGCGCTTTTTGCCGCCGAGCCAAATTTAGAACATTCTAGAGCATATAACACAAGTTTATTATTTGTTGCTGTAATTAGTAAGACATATATTTAATTATGCACTATTATTAGGAAAATAATTACTAGAATGAGCAAGACATATGCACCAATTTTTTACAAACCATAGGGGAAAAGATGACATAGTTTAAAAAATGAACCGGACCGGCGGCCTCACTGGTTCGATTATCAGTTTGGTTTTTTAAATTATTAGCGTGGGGACTACCAACTCCAATAAACTTGGTTACAAACGCACCTCGACGTGAAAAAGCCTTTGTATCATCGAAACGAACAACTTGCTGATTCGGCCATCTCCATCTGAGTTGATCACATGAGGGTGCAGGATGTCGATACGCGTCGACCGATGGGCGGCATGGGCTCCAGGGTGGACGGATGGAGAGCTCGCGAACGGAGCGGTGCTCTTGGAGGCTTTCAGGGGAGCCCGCGTTCGGAGTTGAGGAAGACGAGTTCCCGCTCGCTAGTGCCCGGGAGTCAATTGGAGGAATCGGACGACCATGTGACTCTGCAGGACCCGTGGACGTCCTATGAAATTGGAAGCTTGAGCATGGATGCCTGATCTGTCAATTTCTGATACGACTGCATGCCACATTCAGCCATGAGAACAGCTCACTCATGCTCCTCAGGGTTTCAACCAAACAACCCCTATGTACTGATTGCTACTATTTGGTTTACGGAAAAGGGTTTCCCCCGCTTTATATTATAAAGCACCAACACAACATCGAAGCATCCGAAACAAATGCACGCCACACAGACCCAAGGGAAGATACATGAATGCCTGGCACCGATACACAACCTCAACAACACCCGAGCGTCCATGGGTGCATGCCCGCACCACCACCATGCCGCCCGATTGCTACTATTTGG